CCCTGCTCTAGCCCCGGTCATGCCCACTATTGATGTTCTGTACATAAAGAGTAAGGATGGGAGCAAACATATGAAGACCAAAGGATGCAGGGTCTGTCCTGTGAACCTCTACTCCTTCTTAGCTACAGGTTACCTCTAAGTCAGAGCATTGTGGGAAGTAAACCAGGTTAGGGCCAGATTGTGATGGCCTCATAGATCCGGCTCCATTCAGTGAGCAGTGGAGAACTATGATTTCGCTATAGAACCATTTTTGTTTGTTTTTTTGTTTTAACTGAGCATCTTCAGTGAACTTTGTTTGTTATGATATACATGTTTAGAAACTTGGAACAATTAATTTGGCAGTGATATAAAGGATGAAGGGGAGGTTGGTGAGCAGGTTGTTTGCAGGAGTTAAGATGAGGACAGCAATATAATATTAGAGATGTTATACCATTTGAAGTGGATTTAAAGATTCATGCCTTTCTATATTTAAAAGCAGAAAGAGTCTAGGGAAGAGAAAGCCAGAAAAGGAAAGTAGGAAAATTGGTATTACAAAGAGCAAAAAATGGGATAGTTGAAAAGCAACAGAGTTCAGATTGAAAAGCATGCAAATGTGATGAAATGTCAGAATGGAAATGTGTTTATTTCTTTAAAAGTTGAAATTAGCTAAAAAGGATAGATTCTTAAGTTGAAGAATCAAGCTAAATACTTGAGACTACAAGTGTTTTTGTTTCAGTGTTGTTGTCATGTAATGACTGTGCATAATCCTTTTTCTCACCTAATTAGTGGATCTCTTAGAGTTGAATACAACAAATGAAGTTTTCAAACAGCACAAGCTGAACCAAAATGATCAGCTCCTTAGTGTTCCAGATGTCATCAACTGTCTGACAACAACTTACGATGGACTTGAACAAATGCATAAGGAGCTGGTCAACGTTCCGCTCTGTGTGGATATGTGTCTCAACTGGTTACTCAATGTGTATGACACGTAAGTTTGTGTTTTTTTCCATTAAAATACTGTCATTGAATGAAATATATTGACAGTAGAAACTGTTTAAATTTTGAAAGTGAATTTTTTAAAAAGTACTTTCAAAGTACTTTTCCCAGTGGAAATATTTATGTTAATTGTTGAAAGTAAATGACTTTCCAAATCATTAAGCTCTTAACGAACAACAGAACAAAATAGAATGTAGAACTATTATTTCAAGATTTTCCTTCAGTTTGCAAAGGCTGTCAGATTTGCAGTATTCTTTGTCAAGAAGCTAGGGAAACCTAATGTGGATAAGTCCTAGTTTCTTCTTGTTTCAGAATGTCTTATAGTATTTCTTTTTTGAAAGGAAAAAAATTTGTTTTTATTGTTATGAATTAAAATGATTTATTAATATTTGCTCATAATAATGTGCTCTACAATCTCTGTATGACAACTGAAGGGCGATTTGAATGGCAAAGAATGGAATTTAATTTGTCTTTTGCTGTTAACTTTATTTACTACTGTAAATAAGTGGTAGTTATGTGCATATATGGTGTTTTAAATAATTTATGTTACAGAACACTCAAACATCTATAATTTAATTAGGTGTTCACTGTTACATAAAGGGGACTCTCAACTTCCTGCAT